TCCTTCCCGGGGATACACTTTCAATTTTCGATGTGCACCCCCCCCCTCCTTCAAACTTTAGATTTGCACCCCCCCCCTCAAACTTTCGATTTGCACACACCCCCTCAAATTTTTCTCTATATATTTTGCTATTTTTTGCCTTGGTGGCACCCCCCCCTAAATGCGGTCCGCACCCCCCGCCCCCACCCCCTCGCTACGCCTCTGTATTCCACTTATGAGACCAGTGTAGGATTCTTCCAGACGTTTTTCACCAGGGATGGTGTTGGGGAGTGCACTTAAAATGTTTTTGAGGGGTCGAACTACAATTTTACGGGGCGGGGCGGACTCTGGTATCTATAATAATAGTTTCGCTGTTTGTCTATGTATCTATCTATCTATCTGTCTATCTATCTGTGTATCTATCTGAAAAGAACGCTATAGAGAAAACACAAGCAATTTAAAAACATGCATAGTTAAACGAAAACGAAATATGACGTCATATTGAGCGTATAGAAGAAAATAATATCAAGCCGGAGAGTGCACACAGTAATATGACGTCATTGATTCTCGAGTAAACATTGAATAAAAAGGCAATTTTGGTCTAATCTAAGTGGTTTGCGTGAAGAGTTTCTTTCATACAATTCTTCGGGTAGGGCGAAGCCCCACTCCCGCGTAAGAACGTCTGATCACCCCCCCCCCCCTCCCTAACTCAAAAGAAATTTCTTCATCGATACTCTATAATAAAATTACCGCCTAATTAATGTGTCTAATCTAAAAAGTGGTTTTTCTTGCAATTTCTTTAATGCAATTCTTCGGGTAGTGGCTAAGCGCGACACCAGTGTTTCTTTCAGACTTTTTCCTCCCCGTGAGGGGGGAACTTTTTCTAATCTAAAAAGTGTTTAGCGTGTTTTTTTTTCAAGCATCTCTTCCGGTAGGGGCGAAGCCCGCCCAGATTCTTCCTTTAGTTTGTATGATCTACAAATGCGACCAGTGTTTCTTTCAGACTTTTTTCTCTCTCCGGAGAGGGGTGGGGGTACTTGAAATTTTCGGGGGCGGGGGTAGAATTTTCTGGGAGGGGGCGGACACTGGAAAAAGTATATAATTATACTTCGTTGAATGGGACGGTTGATATGTTTTGGAGTGGGGGGGGGGGGGGGGGGGAGGGGGAGGGGTAGAGTTGCCTGAAAGAAACTCTAAATGCGACTTATGTCATGAATGAGATTAGGTGCATGGTTTAGGGATATGCCTATGACTATATTTTGTATAAATTAAAGTACCGAGAAAATAGCACTATCAATCTAGCGCCCGTTGTATCCTTCCTCAACGGGCCATTTTTCTCGTAAGTATATATTCAATATAAATTCTACTACTTTCCAGGAGGCTTCCGAAGTTCTTCTTGTGATTTTTTCCCGAGTGGCTGAAAGAAACTCTGAATTCAACTTTTCTCATGTGAAGCTTAGGTGCAAGTTTAAGGGGTATGACCTAAGACTATATTTAATATCAATGTGCAGTGTATACTTTTAAATCAAGGTTACCAGATAAGGTATTGTGGTAATGTCTACATTTAGATTTATACACAATATTTTATCAATGACGTCATTATTATCGAGTTTGTAAATTACAGAAGGTGTTGATTGTATTTTAAAGTATACCTGATACGTTTTAAAAATAAAAGGTTTCCATATTTAGTCTATCAAAGATCGCCACTACCACAGGTTACGCAAAGACAAAACAGTATTCAGTTCCACAAATTCTCTAAGCCTATCAATAGCGTCTTCGTGAAGTAACTTACACGAGCCGACCCGCTGCGTATCATACGCCGCTAATTAGTTGTTTTTTTTCTACTTTTCAGTAATTTATAATTTCTGAATTCGACAGTACCAATGCTGCCACTGAAAATATTTGCTTAAAAACACTAAACCCCCCTTCCCCCCCCCCCCCATGTGAAAGCAGCCTCCTCTTAGTTACCTCCTCTAAGTTTAAAATCGTTTCAAACTAAATTATCTGCCCCTAATAGCCGTCACCAAACCCGTCTCTATGATTGTAAAATGTAAACAGCGTGACCACAGCTCACCAGACAATGTGGGGGTGGGGTGGGGGTGGTAGTGATAGTGATAGAGAGAAAGAGAGGGGACTGCAAGGAGGCGCTTGCAGATTGTTTTCTAACGGCTCCCAGAAGAGAATTATATATATAGATAGATTTGTAGAGTCACAGGTTTTAATAGATTTCAGGTGGAAATATTTTTAAAAATTCTTATATCAAATATATCTGAAGACAAATTATGTAATTCAATTTAAGTCTCGAAGAAACAGGCCTGATATCATTGCATCAGTCCCAAAAGTTAATGGTCATGTGTTAGGAACGTATATAATTTCTACTTAGAATGTTCACGTCTTTTTTGAACAACATACTTTAGCCATCGGGAACGCTTTGAATTAAATAGACAAATGAAAGTTTTTTAAAATGTGAGTGTTAAGTCTTGTTTTTACTTCTTATTTCTCTCTCCTATTACAAGAGCATTTATTTTAAAAATATACTAGGATTTTAACTATATGTGTACATGGAGGCAGGTCTTCTAAATGGTCTGTTGGGTTTGTTTGTACTTTGGTAACGTCGTTAGGCAGAAAAAAATAGCTTTAAATTCCACTTTCAAATTTAAAAAAAATAGAAAAAAATTAAATTTAAAAGACTAATCATATATAATACGTTACTCGTTTACATGCAGATAGAGAAATTATTACTTGGCTTTTTTCTAACGGGCAAACAAACACCGAAGTTATCACAAGAATTTAAACAGTTGACTGGGCAGGAACTAGAGCAATTTTGTCCAAAATGGCCTGGCGAGCAAGCTGTAGAATGAAGGGATATGCGATTAAAAAATTAGAAACTATTTTAATTAATTGAGAAAAAAAATAAAAATTATTGACTTAATATTATTTATTATTTCCCCCTCCCCCCTAAGTTAATTACCCCTCGCCGACATTTCTTCCGCCAACTCGTTATTTCATCCACTCATTAGAACTACTACCCCTTGTCTATTATTCGACCCACCTACCCCTAACAATAAAAATAACCACTTGCAGTATTTGAATTTTATTGCATAGATAATATTCTATAGCACGTGGATATGTGTGTGTGTGTGTGGGGGGGGGGGGGGGGGTAGATAAATAACAGGGAGCAATTCCTCTGAGGGTAGTGACGGGGGTAATTGTTCGGGCATTACGATATATCTGATAGTGTAATAAATAGTTAACAGTCTGCAAAGTGATAATAAAATATAGGTACACGCTTAACAGCCTACAATATGGAAATGCAATTATAGCATTTCTCACTTCACTCATCACTTACGTTGGTCACAGAAATGTCCCTGATAGCCTGGTAAACAGTTCAAACAAACGCCATTGGTATGTTGACACAGTGAGTTGGTGCAGTTTTTAGGACATTTATGAGTACACTTGTATCCATATCTGCCTGGGCCACATGCTGGTAATTAAATTAGTCAAAGTAGATTATTAGCTTCATGCTTACGGCAGTAAAAATACAAAAGGATAATTGTTAACCTATAGACAAAAATACAATATAGTCGCCTACTAAATTTCATTTGCTTCCTCTGTCTGTATGTCGTGCATTTGTCTATCTGTCGTCATAGACCAAAACGGGAGAGTGAAGTTTCGAGCACCTCTAACTGACCGATTCGTATCAAAGTTTGCACGGGTCATTTAAGGCAATGCAATATGACATTAAATTTGACTTTATTGAAAGCCTAATTAATTTTTTATAAATTGCTTAACATTTTCTGAAATTAATAGACTGACCTGAAACTACTATTCCGCAATATTATACGCACATTAACATGTTCATTTGGTGAACAATTATTTTTAGTCGTTAAACTATATTGTTTTAAAATGTTAAAGTAATGAAAAAATAAATTAATTTTTAAAAAAAAAAAATGCAAAACTTCAAGAATGTTATTCACTAAAAAGAGGAAAATAATTTATTTTCTTTAAACGTATTATAATAATACACTACTATTCAAAGAAAAGTGCGGGTTTCTTCTCAAATTTTTGTGAAAGTATTCAATAGGTATTCAAGGGGCGTACTACATGCGCGCAAGGCCGTTGACTGAAAGCATATCCAAGCAGCGTGCTATCACAACCCGCGCGCAGATGGTCTGGCAAACTACAAGTAAAATATAGGTACCCTCTTCACAGCCAATGAGAATGGCATGAAATTATACAATTTTTCTATTCACCACAAGACTTACTTTGGTTGCAGAAATCTCCTTCATAACCGAGTGATGAACAGCTCAAACAACTTCCATTGTCATTTCGGCATAGTCTGTCTGTGCAGTTTTCAGAACAACGTTCAACACACATGGATCCATATCTGCCTGGGCTACATGCTGGTAATTAAATTACTCAAATTAGATGTTTACCTTCACACTTAAGGCAGTAAGAAATACGTTTTGTTTTCACGTGATATAAATACCAAACATCAACAATACTTCAACACCATAAATTAAATAAGTGTAATTTAATTACAAATGTCAATCGACAGACAAAAATCTAAACCAGCAATGTACTTGATTACTTTTAGAAAAAAAAAACGACTTCATAATTTTATTTTCTCCGTGCTTTGACAATAAAACCGTTTAGGCAAGCCTCCATTTTGTTCTTCTACCACCCTCTACCTACGCTATTACCCCCCCCCCCCCACCACCACCACAACAGCTACGTATATTCTTTTCGTTTCTTCTCCTCACAGGCTCTTCTCTAGTTGGCTAGATTGTCCAAGAAAAACACACTCTCTTCCAGCACTGAGCTCAGCTGCAGGTGTTGCACGCGGCCTTGTGGCCGTCGGCCCGATCCCCACGTGTTCTGGGTTTGGTTTTACTTAGTTATTTTCTTATTTTCATTGTACCAGTTTTAATATGCATGATATTTCCTTATCATTGTAGCAAGTAATTCAATAAATACCATATATATGACCTTGCTGTTATGCATTATTACTTACATACTTTACACTGTTACCCTGTTCGTGGCTTAGTCTTGTATTAAATATATGAACTAACTTTTATTCAAAGAGGGAAAATAAAATAAAGGCTTATTCGAATATAGAAACACATGTTTAATTATGCAACCGGGAAATTGTTTATGGTTGTGACAAGAACGCAAAAAACAATGACGTCACATGACACTACGGAAAGTACCCAACACTACTGGCGTCCTCTTTCAATTTTAGAATATTAAGAAATAAACTATTTCAATCAAATTTGATTTAGATCTATAGAGCTACTTTTTAAGTCGTACGCTATGGAATGTGTACAATTTTTATTTTATTTTATCGGCCTAAATTAATACAAATTTCTTTTTAAAAGCATCATAACTCCCATCGGACAGCCGGGTTTTTGAGAAATTATTTAAGTCTCAGTTTGTGCATTTAATATGGTGTTGTGTATGTGTTGACTCATAATGTAGGCTTGTATAATTTGGTTTTACTTTTTCTAATAGGTATTGGTAAAGTGTTATTTTAAATGTGTTGGATGATAGCTATTTAGTTATTTTTTTGCACCTATTATCATTCAACGTGTAGTAAAGCGCATTGAGTTTTGACTAGTAACTATTTCATAAATATTTTTTTTGCAAACAAGTATAACATTAAAAGTATAGTCCTATAATTTAATGGAAACGTGTACACATGGGTAGTCATTTAATAGATACGAATGTCACAGAAATAAAATAAAACGTGACAAACAACTAAAAAATAATTAAAATGATTAGTTGACTGCGAGACCTAACGGTATAGCGCTAAACTGCCATCCCCAACGTCTATAGTCCGACTGCGGTTTTAAGTCTGTAGAAAATTCTTATGTCCACCTACCCTGATGGGTACATAGTTACTTAAGGTAACGAAGAGGCGCCTAAGCATATTACTGACCACAATATCCCTTCATATGCCGAGGTCAAAGAAACAGGTGAACTTTAGTTCACTTGCCCCATGGACCTTACGGTTCGAAAAGGGGAAAAAAATAATTTAAAAAATTAAATTTCTTACTTTCATTACAAAAATCTCCGGTGTAGCCAGCTATACACGAGAGGCAGCACCCATCAGTAGCATTGCAGCGTAGACACTTGGAGGAACAGTTTTGTGGACATCCTTTACCAAATGTATCTGGACTACATGCTTTTACAACAAAATACACAATTAAAAATAAACGCCATATAGGGCCTACATAGGTTTTCTTGTTGTATAGTGTAATGCTAAATTTAGTTAATGTAGTAAAAACAGATATAACATAACACTGCTTTAATTAGGTAAGTTTTTATGAGCGTGGCAGATTATCAGGCTAATTAGTTTTGACAATGTTAAAAGCTTTAGCAGCCTAGGTTGTTATGCATATGTAGAGATTTCTATCCGTGTGATTATTTTTGGTTCTCTGAAAGCCCAGCGCTAAGACGACACTTTCACAATACACTAGAGATGTGGCTACTTTTTAAAATATCAGGCCATCCAAAGAGCTATTTTGTTGTTGTCCGTGTTACACGTTTTGTCTATGAGCCATACAGCCAAATGGTCTCGGTCACAAACCGTCTATCTATAAAAAGTTCAATATTCTGTTTTTACATAAATCGAAAGCCAGTATGATTCCCCATAATTCCGGAAAATATTATATTAAAGAAATGTTTATAAAGACGTAGAGATTATTTGTTGCTGATTTTTGTTTCATGATTTGTTAATGAACCATACAGCTAATGATTTCAACATGGTAGTGTGAATTAACAATGCATGCGGATTCCACCATGGATTTGTCAAATTTAAAACATTGCTTGTCTTGGTGGTTACTTGTGTTTATAATCTCCTACATACTGTTCTGCTAGCTCAGAAGGCCGACTAGTGTTTTTTGACTGCTCGAGAGATGACATAGATAATCTGCAAAATCTCAAGTCTACAAATTGTTGAGTGATTTTCTATAGAATTCCTGTTGGTTTATTTTATTTAGTTTGTTTCATACTCCAGTTAACCATAATCGCCAGTTTGTTCTTTAAAGCATTTCGATAATTAGTCATTGTCTATAATTTGACGGTATAATTTGTGGTTTGTTATATATTAATTTAATACTCCTAATTATCATAATTTTCCAAACTAACGCCCATTCTACTTTATCAAAATACATTTCCTAATCCATAAAAAAGTACATCTAGTAAAGTGTATAAAACATTTTGCTGTTTAGGATGATATTAATATGCGAGATGCGATGGCTTGCCCGGAAAATTTGTTGTCTTATAAACGTTCCAGATCATTTTTTAAATCATATATCTGTACATTCCCTGCTTCAGCTACGTTGTTTAGAAGTATAAACACTTGTTGGTATTTGAGAAGTCAACATAGTTTAATAGGCTGGTAAATGAAGTCTAATCTATTTTATAATGCCATGTTTTGTAACATATACTTTAATTGTGTTTTATGGATAACCCTTAAAAGAAATTTTGATTAATTGAACACATATTCATGTATCAGTTAATTTTTTAAAAATAATTATTTAATCAAAACTAAAACATAATGAGTCTAGATAGATCCATTTGTTTACAGATTTAAGTTTACCACTTACGTTCACCACAGTAGTCTCCTGTAAATCCAACAATACAACCATCACAAACTCCACTGACCGGATCACAGGTAGAATTGTAGCAATTGTGTGAACAGTTTTGTGTACAGTTATATCCATAATAGCCATGTGGACAACCTTTATTGTATATTTTAAAATATATTAGTTATTAAAACTCTATGTTAATCTTATGTAATTGATAATAGGTTGCAAACATATATTTTTAAAATGGAAATATAAAGATGCTTTAAATTCTAATTTTGTTTCATTCTTCAATATATTGATATAACGAAACGAAATATTTCTAAAAACAAAGTGAAGACAGCAACATGACTTTATTTAATACTAACTGTTCTAGTACGGGTAAACCTCAAAGAATGCAAGATGTAAATGCAATAATAAAAATTACACTTTTCGCCCATAACAAGACTTACATTGGTCACAGTAATCTCCTTGATAGCCTGGTGAACAGCCGAAACAAATGCCATTTGTATGTTGACACAGTGAGTCTGCGCAGTTTTCAGAACAGCGTTCAACACACGCATGTCCATATGTGCCTGAGCTACATGCTAACGATTAAGTTGGTTAAATTACTATACATTACCAAAATGTAATAATAAATACAATTAATAAAAGCATATTTGCATATACGTTGTTTATTAATTATTTATGTGGGGAAAAAAAACGAAAAGCTACACCTGGCAATGCACTTTTACGAAACCAACTTAATAATGTTTTTTAAGTAGATATATTAATATTATTTTTTAAAATATCATAACCTTTCATGCCTTAGTATAAAAAACTTAGCTTACTTTCATTACAATAATCTCCCCTGTAGCCAGCCTTACATTCCTTACATCGCCCATCAATAACGTTGCATTGGGAAGCTAAACACATCTCAGGACAGTTTTGTGAACACATCTCACCAAATGTACCATGACTGCAGTCTATTATACATAAAAAAGTAAAACTATTGTATAATTATATAATTGACTATAAATATAGTCCACAATTTTGTTTAGTATAATACTTTATTTAGTTTGCGTAGCAAAACATTTTAATGAAATGTCAGTATGCCTGTTCTTGTAACATTTAAAGACCATGGCTGATTATAAAGTAATTTAGCATTTTTGGCATACTTTATTTTCATATGATCTGCTCTATATTCTCAGCGATTAGGCCAATGTTAAAACTAAATCGCTATTGTTGAATAATACGCAAAAATAACGATTATCAGTATATAATTCTGAAATGACAATGAAACATTGTTAAAAAACGGAATCACGCTATTGTCGTTTTCGGTGACCATCATTACCATGACGTCGGTAAAAAAAAAGTAGGTCAAACTACACGCTAAATTATGACAGCCTGGAATATAATCGTGAAAAAAACAGCAGCAAATAACTATGAGTGGAGAAAGTAGTAAAGCAAGCAAAAGCACTACAATGTTGAAGAGCAACATGAATGGCTTATGTTTAGTGCATGATAGTAGTTAAACAATAATACCTTGATCACAAAATGGTCCAAGTAATCCAACTTTGCACTTGATACAGTGACCACTGAAAGGATCACATAATTGTTGATCACATTTGTCTGAGCAGTGTAGGGAACAATTTTGTCCATACAATCCACTGGAACAAACTGCCAAACAAAATGAATTATGTATTCATACTTTGACATAATATTTTTATTGCTCAAATATTTCTAAAAATATTAAATCAAGTTATTTTACTTATCAAAAAGGCACGAATTAAATGACTGTAAAATGGAAAAACAATAATATACCTTTATCACATTTGTCTCCCATATAACCATTTTTACAACCTTTACAGAACCCGTTGATTGGATCACATTCATTGTTTGTACAGTTAGCTGGGCATGACAGTGAACAGTGGTATCCAAACCAACCTTTGTTACATGCTGTTGACAGAAATAATTCAGATACATTTTTGTGATTTCTAAATTAGAATTATTATTAGAAACATGCTAGAAATCTGGTACACAAATATAAAATTCCATTAAAAATATTGCACAGTTAAAGTGTATAGCTCTCATAGAAGGCCTACTAGAAATTACATTCGTCTTCATAAGTTCCTGGGCAATACTCTTGGGAAAAAGAAAAAAAATTGTATATGGGAAACAGAAAAATTTGAATAAATAAATTGTATAACAGACCAATTTTATGGAGGGATACGCAAATCATTTTTATATTTAACTGCATTGTGTAAACATATTTATAACACTCAGAATCCTTTATTAAATTAACGGGCTCAATTTTAAACATTTAGTTTAGCCAAAATTTAAAAAAAAAAATTACTAATTGTAATTCAACTAAAAAAATATTTTTTTTAACATAAACAAGTGTTTTTATATTAACACAGTGCCTTTATCACACCTGTTTCCAACGTAGCCATCACTACAATTCTGACAGAACCCATTTATTGGATCACATTGTTTGTTTCTACAGTTATCTGGGCATATGAGTGAACAGTTGTATCCAAACCATCCATTATCGCATGCTGTTGACAGACATTTGACTAATAGCCTTATTTTGTCTCTTTAAATAAATTATCTGTTTTAAATGTATGGCTTGAACTTAGAATATAAACTTGATAGCTTCAGCTTACGTTTGTTGCAGAAATCGCCTTTAGAACCTGGAACGCAACTGTAACAGAATCCATTTGTAACATTGCACAGTGAAAGTGTACAATTTTCAGAGCATTTGGAGTCACATTTGTATCCATATGTTCCTGGACTGCATTCTTGTAAAAAAAAAGTTATTATTTTTTCGTTTTTTAATTTCTCGTATATACGAAGTATAGAGAAAGTATTGTAATCGTGCACAAAAATCACTTGAAATTGTAACAATTTTCACCGTATTACACCTCAGTCCTTCTTCACATACGAAGTATAGAGGCATTATTTTAATCGGGCAAAAATTATCAATCCAGATTTATCAAAATTAAAAGGTTTTATGCGTAATCCAGTCTGAAAAACTGGGCTTTGCAATTCTGTCCGTATGTCTGTGTGTCTGAGTGTGTGTGTCTGTGTGTAAACACGATAACTTGAGTACCGTTACAGCTAGGTTGATGAAATTTCATATATAAGTATATTATCAAAATCGTAGATCAGTGTCACCTTTTGAGCGATTTCCGATAACCGGAAGTGGTACTTTTTTACTTTGAATTTTTCAAAAGCCTATTACTTGAGTACTATTTCAGATAGATAAATGAAGTTTCACATGTGAGTAAAAGATCTAATTTTCTACCTTCTGTTAAATTTCCGTTGACCGGAAGTAGTAATTTACGCTACTTCCGATTTCTCAAAAAACTAATGTAAATTTTTAAAGTACTAATAATAGGTGCGCGGACCTTTGACCACAGGTGCTTTGACCATAGGGGGTTTGACCATAGGGGGTTTGACCACAGCGGAGCTTTGACCATAGGGGCTTTGACCATAGGGGGTTTGACCACAGCGGGCCTTTGACCATAGCGGTTCTTTGACCATAGGGGGTTTGATCATAGGGGGTTTGACCATAGGGGGTTTGACCACATGTGTTTTCTCAGCAGAGGGTCTTTGATCACAGGTGGTCTATCAACTGGTGTTTGATCACAAGCGCTGTGTCCGGCCAATCACTAGTTAAGTTGTTAGCAAAAAAAAAATGCCGATCCTTAACTTTTACTCAGTTACTTATTTTCATTACATACTATCCTGAATATTACCAATATCAGTATCATTTTAGTGTCATTATGGTTATGGTTAAGGTAGCCATTACCGTTACGTTTACTATTACTCTGGCCGTTACCGGTACTGTTAACGATGGGTTTCTGTCGCCTTAACCGATGGGGAATTATTAGACCTGGTAAGTGGGGTAATTTATAGGGGATAATTGATCAGGAGGTAATAACGTTAGTGAAATAACCTACGTTGGCGTGTATTTAACGGGAGGGCAGTAAGTCATGCTTCCATTTTAAACACATAATACCCCATCACATAACACTACTCAACATCTTATAAGGCCACGACACCTATATTATATAAATAATGGACGTTGAAGCCCATCTCACACCATCACACAGAAACCACAACCAAAATATGTTTTTGCAAATATGTAGCAGCAATCGCGTCGTTTTAGAGTTAGAGATTGATGTTACAATTTTATGACCTAATTTATTTTTCAAAAAAAAAAAAGAACTACATCATTTTTATATCAAAATTTTAGATCAAATCCGATAAAATAGAAATGCAACACATAATATCACACTTTTTACAAAAATGAACAAATATAACATATAGCATCATAAATATAATAATATATACATTTTTCTTACTGTCTTGACAGTGGTCTCCCTTATATCCTGGTTCACAGCTGTGACAAACTCCATTTGTAGCATTAAATGTTGAATTAGTACAGGTGTTCGGACAGTCTTTAATACATTTATATCCAAATTTTCTTGTTGGACATTCTAAAATTAATATAAAACAAACTTATTTCAATCTACCAGATTAGTACATGCTACGCACAAAGGTTTCAAAATATAAGCGGCAAAAAAAAAAACACCTTAATCTTAACATTAGTAAAGATTTCTAATTAGAATAATTCATAATAGCTATCTGCAGTATATTCCCAAATTAATTTTAAGATATTGGAAATACTTTTAAGCTGCATAGTCTCTAAGTCCCATTCAAGATACAACTAGCAGTGTTGAAAAAAACTAAATTAACTGTTACATTTTATAATGTATAGACCTACAGACTTACACATTTCTATGTGTGTAAATTTAAATATTTTAAAATTTCGGGCATCTATTTGAGCATATTTAAATTTATTCTTACTATTATTACAATTGTTTCCAAACCATCCATCCTTACATTTGTCACATTTGCCGCTGAAATAGTGACATTTACCCCCCTTACAATTTGTTGAACATGATTGTGAGCAATTAGTCCCATAATACCCAATGGAACACTCTGAAAACAAAACAAAACAACTTAGTATAAATCTATTTTAAAATATCATTATGTACAAAAATATTGTTATCTTTAAAAAATAAAGTGATTAAAACATTAGGCTATTATTGTCGTAGTGTCTTTAAAAACATTAAATCGTGGAAATAAATTAAGCCTACAAGAAGAGTGTGCTAATAAACTAATGTTGCTTTTATTATATAAGTAACAAACTATAGTGATACAATTATTTTTTTTAACTTACTTTCATGACAGTAGTCACCCTTGTAACCGGGCACACAGCTATGACAAATTCCACTTACAGCTTCACAAGTTGCATTAGTACAGGTCTTTGAACAGTTTCTCATACAATTATAACCAAATTTACCTTTTGAGCATGCTGAAAACAATTTAAATCTTTTGAGAGCTGAATTATCTGTCTTTTAAAATAACCAATTTTTCACATCTAACAAGGATGTATCACCAGTATTAGGTAATGTAAAATGTAACCGAAACACCAAAGTACTTGTGTTGCAAAATGCTCCTTTCCAACCATCTCTACATGAAGAACAATGGCCACTGAATGGATCACAAGTTGCGTCAGCACAATTTTTGGAACAGGATAGTGAACAGTTTTCCCCATATTGGCCTTGTAAACATACTTGAAATAAAGATAAAATCAATATTAATTAGTAGTCAATTGTTATATGTATTCCATTTCCTAATAACAGAAGTAAGATTTTTTAAAAATCCTTAGTCGTAGCATTTTTATATAATTATCCATAAATATGGGTCTATTTTAGTATTAAAATTAAAATTTTGTTATCTGCTTACCATAAATAAGATTTAGCATGTTACCCTTTTTTCCTTCTAACTTTGAGTATAACACTATATACCATATTGTTAGCTTAAGACTTTATTATTCGCCCATATAGTACAGCCCCAACAACACGTTTTCCATCCAGACTCAGTTTTTACGTCCGGGTTCGATTCAACACAACAACGATTCATGACACATATTGTATCCTTTTATTTGGACTCAATTCTTCACATAACAGAGTAGCCTTAGCCCTAACCGCTACCAACTAACTCTGACAACCATTCACTTCAGCTTTTATACCGCATTCGGCCTTGAAATAACAATACTTAAACACACCGGGGTTAACAATACTCTAGGGTAAACTCAACTAACACACGCACTCTCCCTAACCTATTCTAACCTATTTCTATGTAACCTACAACTGACCCGTAACATCATTCATATAAAACTTCTTGACCTTAGCAACATGCTGCACGGTAAGCAGAGATTTGACATTTAAGGGACATCACTATATTATATGTAATACAAGGGAAGTACCAGTAACTAACAGGACATAACATAATATAGCTAGTGGAAGTTTGGACATTTTCTTAAACAAATAAATTACACTATTTTCACGCATTGCAAAATTATGGCCGAATAATATTTTAAAACAATTTTTTTATGATATTAAGTAAATAAAGAAATATGAGCTATTGATTGGCATACTTTTGGTAAACAATACATTAATCTAAAAAAATCATGCCATCCTAATATATAATTCCCCATGTGCGCACTTCTATCTGTCCGCAAAATATTTTCGCCGGACATCACGTCAGAATCGGCAGCGATATATGAAGAACTTTTTACGGACTTTTATTGAAAAAAATATGTTAGATGTTTTAAATGTAAAACCACAAAATTATTTAAAGAAGAAAAATAAAAAATAAAGGCGTATTCGAATGTAGAGAAACAGTATTATTTATGCAACCGGAAAAGTGTATAAACTTGAGACAAGAACGCATTTTACAATGACGTCGCTTATTGTTTACACTAAAAAAAGAGCACGAAACTGATGACGTCATCTTCCGAGTTTAGAATAAAAAGAAATGAACTATTTCATTCAAATATGATTTAGAGCTATGTACGCTATGAAATGTATACAATACGATTTTCTCGGCCTAAACTTAAAAAAAATATTTTATCTATTTGGATTCTAGATCTAGAGATTCTAGATCTAGATCTAGATGATCTATAAAGCTAAGTTGTCGGGTGCCCGACAGGGCACTTCCCGGCGCCGTAGGCGCTTCAAATTTGGCAGGATCTTGCCTTGGGGCGACAGAACACGGGGGCCGGTTGGCCAAAAAGTCTACGATGAGGGGGTCAAAACTGACCTCGACTGACCAGCGCCTTATATGGGCGAATTAATTAAGCATTCAAATTCTCAATGTTTTCGAAAGCATAAGCGAAGCTGGGCAGCATGCCTAGTTGGTGACAGGACAAATGATCTCAGGACAATTGATCTCAGACAAAATATCTCAGACAAAATATCTCACGGACAAATGTTCTCAGGACAAATGATCTCAGGACAAATGATCTCAAGGACAAATGATCTCAGGACAAATGATCTCAAGGACAAATGATCTCACGGACAAAAGATACCAGGACAAAATATATCAGGACAAATGATACCATGGACAATTGATCTCAGACAAAATATCTCAGACAAAATATCTCACAGCAAAAGTTTAGTGTATTGGATGATTTTAGTTGATCTGAACATTTTTTTATTGACTGTTCAATGGTTTTGTTTACTATGTTTAATATTGTTTATAGGCCTATATAATAATTGTAAGAAATGTTTGCCGTATAAATTTGTCATATTGTACTAAACATTTTAAAATTAAGATTTCTAATACAGTATGCGAAGATTAAAGAATTTTTGTCGATAGATAGCGTAGGGGAGGGGGGATTGACAAACATGAGACAATCCTACCACGTCAGGTGGACGAAACTAGATAAAAGGGGATGAAATAACAAAAAAGACACACCTTAGTATCAAGGTGGCCGCCCGCTTTGATAGCAGGGACATGCCTTAAGGGAAAGACATCCACCCTCCATGGACAATACAACTAGCATCTAAGGTCCATGGGTTAGCGTCGGTCACACCTTAGTGATCAGGTGACAAATGCTTATTTAAAGAATCAGCGGTAATCGCGGAGCTAAGTTTGTTTTACTGTGCATGAAAACAAAGCAGTATTGGAAGTGCTTACTCAGCTATGGCCTCATAAGTTACCCAGCAGAAAGGTTTTAAGATATTAGTTTCTGGGGAATTTTTTTTATTAAAGCCAGAAGTGGAGCAGCAGTCAAAGAGGTTTGGAAATGTGAAGTTAGAACATGTCGAGCTAGAGTTGACACAATACATGATCACATAGTATTGGAGAGGTGTAATCATAACAATGTACTTGCCGTCATAGAAACGTAAGCGTTATGTTCGTGTAATAATGCAATAAAAACAATAGTTGTAAATTACGAACCTAGAGACCCGTTAACATTTTTGAAAAATATTTTGCGTGTTTTAAACATTAATGTATAAATACCTTTACTTTTTTTGTTTTATACATTATCATTTATCAAACCTTTCAGGCTAAAGGAGTAAGATAATTTTTTTTTTTACTTTTTAAATCAAATGCTATTATAAAGATTAAGTTTAATAAATCTTTTGATGCTTTGTTAAGTTTAGCAAATTCATTAAATTTACAATTATTATGCGTAAAAAAAGTGAACAAAGCCTTATTGAGAGTCAATAAAAAAAAGTTCAAATCAACTAAAATCATTGTACATACTATTAAACTTTTGCTGTGAGATATTTTGTCTGAGATATTTTGTCTGAGATCATTTGTCCATGATATCATTTGTCCTGATATATTTTGTCCTGGTATCTTTTGTCCGTGAGATCATTTGTCCTTGAGATCATTTGTCCTGAGATTATTTGTCTTGAGATCATTTGTCCGTGAAATATTTTGTCTGAGATATTTTGTCTGAGATCATTTGTCCTGAGATCATTTGTCATGGAACCTGCCTAGTTAAATATAAATTAGAATATAAATTTTTTACACTAAATATATACCTTTATCACACTTATTTCCACGGAAGCCATCTTTGCACATTTCACATGTCCCATAAATTTGGTCACACATATTGTCTTTACAGTTGTCTGGACATGTCATTGAACAATTGTATCCAAACATACCTGGCTCACAACCTGTTACACGTGACAAGTGTATTGGTATATTTCGTTAATAACTGGTTGGCTAGAACCAGCAAACATGTGCAAAGGTTCTTACATGTGAAAAACATCATAACACCTAGTAGACTATTGAAGAATGTATGAGTCATTCACAAAGTAGTAAATTTTTCTACCATGTAACCAGTTATCAACATTCAATAATCATTAACATCTTAAATTTTTAATCTTAAATATAATATTATTTTATAAATTTTATATGGCCCACTTTGATTACAGAATTGTCCTTGATACCCTGGCTGACAACTCAAACATACTCCATCTGTAGGCTTACACAGGGAGTGTGCACAGTTTTTAGGACAGCGGTGAGTGCAGTTGTCTCCATATCTACTAGGGCTACATGCTAGAGAAATAAAAGCAAACAATATCTTTTATTTAGTAATAAATATTCCTTTTAGAAGATTAATGAATAGGTATGTAGTGTCTGTGATTTTTTCAACAGAAAAGTTATATTATCTTACTTTCTTGACAGTAGTCTCCCATATATCCTGGTTTACAGCTGTGACAAACTCCATTTACAGCATCACACGTTTTATTAGCACAGGAGTATGGACAGGATTTTGTGCAGTTGGGTCCAAACCTTCCAAGTAGACATTCTAACAAAAGATACATTTATTATTTAAAACTTTATTATTATTATAATTTACAATATTCAATTTAAAAAACAAACAAACCTGAATTTGAAATAAGATTATTCTCTGAATAATAATAACCTATTCCAAAGTAAAAAAATAACACTACTTCCATTCTAAATAAAAATATTAATGCTTTTAAATATAATAGTTTTAAAAAACACACAAAGTAACATTAAAACATGTTACTCTACTTGCATATCTAACAACACAAAGATTCTCATGCAATATTATTATTTTACCTTCTTGACAAAATACACCTGTCTTTCCATTTTTACACATCAAGCAATGGCCACTGACTGGTTCACATGTATTGTGTTCACATCCAAATGAACAAGAACTTGAACAGTTTTGTCCATAATAACCAGTAGAACAAACTGTTGATAAAAATGTATTCAAATATATAACGGGGATTTTGTACTATGAGCATGTGTTTTACTGTAGGTGCCAGTATCCAAAGCACACAGTTTTTGATTCGTTAATTTAAAAAAAAAAAGTAATTATCTCTAATAGATAAAGTCTGTATACACTAATTAAGAAAAAATTATGTTTTATGTTTTAATGCTCTAATTGTTCACAATTATATTTTGAGCCACAAACTATGATAAAAAACAAAACCCGTAACAAATCAATCGGTTTTATTATATTATTTTAAACATTTTATAAAATATTTACAGTTCACTTAGCAAGAAAACATTAGTCCTTAAAATTGAAATTATTATTTGAAATAGCTGTAACAAGGTTTAAAAAGAATGAAATAATGCAATTCAATTTTGGGGGAAAAAGAATTTTGTCCAAATAAATGCAATACCTTTATCACACCAATCTCCCACATACCCATCTTTACAACGTTGACACAGTCCACTAATTGGATCACATTGTTTGTTTTTACAATTGTCTGGGCATGTCAGTGAACAGTTGTATCCAAACCATCCAGAGTCACATGCTGTTCAAAGAAATATTACAATATAACAATTAATTTATTTGTAATTTAACATCATGTAAATAGTTTGATAACTTATAAACTTACTTTTATTGAAGAAACGTCCTTTAGAACCAGGCACACATTTTAAATGTGCTTTAAATATCATTTAGTTTGCATGTGACAAATAAATATTAATAGTAAAGCAGTAATACCTTTGTCACACAGTTGTCCAACAAATCCATCTTTGCACCTGATACATCGACCAGTGAAAGGATCACATGAATTGTGTTCACATTTATCAGAACATTGTGTGGAACAGTTTTGTCCATAATATCCCCTGGAACAAACTGTCAAAATAGAATGAGAGAAAGTCAGTATATTTTCAACACTTAGTTCCCATTTACTAAACATTTTAAAATCTAATATTAGTTAATTTCCATATTGAAAATAAAATATTAAAACATAAGTTTAAACAAACAAAAATTCAAGATTTAAAAAAAGATACCTCTATCACACCTGTCTCCAACGTAGCCATCACTACAATTCTGACAAAACCCATTTATTGGATCACATTGTTTGTTTCTACAGTTGTCTGGGCATGTCTGTGAACAGTTGTATCCAAACCATCCAGTGTCACATGCTGTTGACAAAACAATTTACTTGTTATCTAATCTTGACTTAGAAATAATATAATACCAGCTAAGGAATAATAATTTTAAGGTACAATTAGCTTCTACGTATCATTGAAGATAGCATTAACAATGTAACATTTATAAATACACTTTTAAGTTTTAAAAATTATGAAGACAAAAACATTTATATGTGTGTGAAAATATATATTTTAAGTGATGGTCCACTCAGATATTGTATGAATGCACAATGTAAGTTCTAATAAATGGATAGAGAACATTACATAAATCCGAGAGTTAATAATATTAGTCGAGTTTGTGTCTCGAACTCCTACGAACCCTAGAGACTTGCTCACCCCACCCCTTGGGTTTGATCGAACCATTGTTACGAACCACAGGTGAGGTTGATGTTCATGATTAAACTTAAAAGAAAGTTATCTTTAAAAAAAAAACATTTTAAGACTGACTTACTTTGATTGCAGAGTTTTCCTCTGTAACCTGGCACACAGCTGTAACAAATTCCATTGGTTGTGTTACACATCGAATGCACACAATTTAAAGGACATTCATGAACATTTTCTTTCTTTATACCTGGGTATGTTTGAAAAATATCAAACAAAAATATTTAAATTGCGTATTAATATCTACTGTCTACTACATTTGAATTGTAATGAATCTATATTCCCTATTCTGAGGCAAAAGTCTTTTATAATTTTACTTTACATTCTCTACTTTTTAAGGATATGAAGTTGGTGAAGTTTTTCCTGCTATGGTCCTGTTAATTTTAATATGCACAAAACAGAGACATGTAATTTTAGATATCATGTTGAGATTTTTAAAATGAACTTTCAATTCTTGTCTACTTACTTTCATTACAAAACTTCCCTTGAAAATTTGCAACACAACCAAAGCAAAGCCCATTGATAGAATCGCACATTGAGAATAGACAATTTTTTGGACAATCAGAAGAACACTCATATCCAAAAGTTCCTCGCCTGCATTCTGACAAAAGACACATGATTAAAAAATCATTGTAGCTATAGTGAAAAGATAACTAAATGTGCTACAACTTTTGCTACTTTAACATACTTTTCGATAAGATAGTGAATAAACTTTTCCACACTACCACTACAGATATAAAGATATTTATTAAGAATAGAAAAAACAAAAACTAGGATAGTTTTGATGAAATAAAATCTCAAACTTAAAAAACAAATTGAAAATCGTTAAAACTTCAAAAGTTGTTTATTAATTATAAGAAAACTAAGAAATAAACTTTAAAATGAGAAAATACAAAATAATATTAATTATTGTCAAATCATACAACTACTATGTGCATTTATAGCATTCCTACACCAAGCAAAAAACAAAACAAAACAATCTCACCATGTTGACAAAGATTACCAGTGTGTCCTAGATCACAACTGTCACAATAACCAGTTTTAACATCACACTTATTTTCTGCACAACCTTCTGGGCATTTACTTGAACAATTAAAACCAAACCATCCTACACTGCAGGCTAGAGTAAAATAAATAAATCAGATGGGTTGGTTTAAAAAGGTGTTTAGTTTTTATGTTACATTTAAAAAAGTGATATTATATCCTCAATGAACAAACATTATCTGCAGGTTTAGTTGTCACCCATAAATGACGTCACGTTTTTTTGCCCCATGTTTCACCCCTCCCCCAAAATTAGTTATTCCCAATTTTAAATGGAGATAAATTATATATTCAGCAACGGTGCCCAAATATTAAAACGTTTATATCAGTATTTGACTATGATTAAAACCCGCCCTCTTGTTCGTAAACATTAGCACGTGGAAAAAAACGAGCGACGCGTAGTTCGCCTCTCTCTCTCTCTCTTGCCGCGCGAAGTGACGCGAACGATCCCACGTCGCGACAGGCTGGCCTCCCGTATCAGTCGAAAAAAATCCTTTCGAACCTCCGCTCATTCGCTATGGTAAAATCCTTTCGAACCTCAGCGCTTTGCGCTAAATCATCCTAGGCCTACACGATGCTCAGTTTAAAAATTCTTAATTAATTTTTTGTGGTCGAACGAAAGTATATTTTTGAAAACTTTCTTCTGCAATATTGTTTTAAATGATGGCAGGAATCGATTGGTACATGTTTCAAGTCGCTAAGTGGTCTGGTTGCCGATATATGGGCAAAAAACTGCATTTTTTCTAGGTTTTTTTGGCTTTTCCGGGAAATCCAGGAAGGAATTCCGGGAATTTTTTTGGCCTATGTTCGTCCTCGGAACTTGCTTAACATATTTGCTTTTGGAACTAGTCCTCGATATTGCTTCGTTGAGGAGGAGATACGACTTAAAGCTGCGGACACACATCCATCCATACATCCATCCAGAAATGACGAGTTAATAATCGCAATCCCCCAGTATGGAAATTGCGCTAAAAATGTGGAAAATGTCGGACGGCAAGCCTTTTACAACACTCGGAAACGAACGATATAATAATAAATATAAACAATAAACACTCCCTTTACTATTAGAATAATTAGCTACTCCCTATTTCACAATAGATCTGCTTCCTATTAAATATTATTATACTTGGAATAATGACACATTTCACTCAATTTTTGGCTTATTACCTGTCGTCACTGTTGAGGTACTAAAGTTTACTAAAACTAAACTAGTATAGAAAGTGAGTATTCTAAGTATAAAAGATTGTTATATGCAATCTACAGCTAGTGAAACTAGAAAAGGACATCGATTATGTTTATGTAAAAAAAACAGACTACCTTGCTGACTAACAGTAAAAACAAATAGATCTAGAACCTAGCTTCTGGATGTCTACATAAAAAGTTTGTTTACATTTGTTTGGTAACCAAGTGGACACACCCACAAAGTCAAAAACAAAATATATACATTGCGGCAGACTCAAGATTCTACTAAATAGAAGGATACATAGGAAAAGTACTGCTCAATGGTGATTTTGAATAAAACAAAACTAAATAAATATTATTAAAGTCAACCATCTAGAAAATTATGTAGATAGATTAGATAATGATGTGATAATAAATTAGTATAGACAGCGATTCTCTGAGAAACTATTTCATCGCACTTGTGTGTCATTGATGTAACTGTTTTTCTTAGAAATGAAAGAAAGGGGCTAGCCTGTTCATGCATATATTATTGTAATAATACAAAATGAAACAGATAATCTTGTTGTTTCTAAGCTTATCCTCTCAGCTGTTGGTAATTTTTTTAAAAATATTGTGAGCAGAAGAACTGCATTTGTGATGCAAAGGTGAGGCGCGGAAAGGTCAGATTAGTTTTTTGCCTTATAATGGACTTGCATAAAGTAAAAACACCAAGGCCAATGGTCATACCAATATAGAACAAATTATTATTTCCTTACAGAAGTCATTGAAGCTATCAGACCAGTCTGGAGAAGTTTAGAAGGTAACAAATTGACTCAATAGATACACCCAAAACCAGAATGAGTCACACAGCAACATGATAGGGAAGTAATTCCAAAAGAAAAGGAATCATTCTGTAATAATTGGAGACTTCTATAGCAATGGCAGAAGCTATATTTAGTAATGGAACACTATTCTGATGGTTTTGCTGAGGGTGATAGACATACATCCAAGACAACTCTGTTGGAATTCTGCAAAACCGCCGATGTCTCGTATGTTACAAAAAAAACAAAAAACAGACATTTTGGGATTTCAAGACTCTGTCAGGTCAGAAAGCACTAGGAATTAGGTGCTGAGGAGAAATAATCTGAACAGTGCCATCCTTACTAAGCTGGAGTGTATTGGCTGTTTTCATGGAAGAAAATCAACTTTTTTTAGTATACGAAAAGTTTGCGAAAAACGACATGTATGCAAATTGTCTTCCAGTTATTTTCCACAATTATTGTTCGATTGTGATAAAATTTTGCACACACATTGCCTGATGTAGTGGCTATGGCATGAACCTAGGTGTTATACTTTTTTTTAGATATGTAGGGCTATGTTGTGCTGTTTTCTCAAAATTTTAGATCATTTTTCAAACCTTTGTCATGGACAAACCATAATGGTTAGTAACATGAGACTGGTTCATACCATAGCCATACATGTGTTTTAGGTGCATTGAAAGCGTTACAGCTGTGTACTTGACACTTTGGTTTAAATTAGTTCTACAGTTGGGGTCATTTTTTTCATATCCCGGATGATTTACATTTACAAAAAAAATTTTTTTTTTAAATTTACTTCGTTACCTAAACTTATTTCCTTACATTTGCCATATAAAAGATTATGTAAGCTATACTGCTACCAAATTCGGCATCTGTAAGTCTAATAGTTTTTTTGTGGTAATTTGTTAGTAAGGTAACCATGTTCTGGGTGTATCTGGGAATGTGGGAGATAGGTGTGATAAAGGTATTGCGTTTATTTTTGACAAAAGCATTTTCCCCCCAAATATAGCTAGCAAGAAAACATACTAAATTTAGAAAACAATGATATTTTTAAAAAAAATAATATGTGGGAAAATTTAATACTTCATACATTTTAACATAACTTTTTATGTGGATTGCAAAGGCCATTACAATTATTGATAAAAAGTCTACTACATAGCTAAAGATACTGTAATGCAAATATTACTAGCGTTTAAAGTACTGACCTTTTCCACCCTATAACATAATCAATATCTCAATGAGTATTTATTTTAGTTAATAGATCTATAACATTCAACAATTATATCTTAAATTTCAAATCTTAAATATAAATTCATTTTATAAATTTTGAATGGCTCACTTTGATTACATAATTGTCCTTGATACCCTGGCTGACAACTCAAACATACTCCATCTGTAGGCTTACACAGGGAGTGTGCACAGTTTAAAGGACATTGGTGAGTGCAGTTGACTCCATATCTACTAGGGCTACATGCTAGAGAAACAAAAACAAAATACTTTTAATTTAGTAATTAATATATCTTTTAGAAGATAAATAAATAGGCATGTATGGATTTTGAGATTTAACACAACAGTATATTAGTTTACTTTCTTGACAGTAGTCTCCCATATATCCTGGTTTACAACCGTGACAAACTCCATTTACAGCATCACACGTTTTATTAGCACATGTGTCTGGACAAGTTTGTGTGCAGTTGGGTCCAAACCTTCCAAGTGGACATTCTAAACAAGATTTTAAAATTTTTTAACAACATTATTATTAACATAACTTCAATTTCTTCAATTGTATAAAAGAAATTAAAAAATATTATTGTCTGAATATTAAGGTAAGGTTTCCAAGGTAAACAAAAACGCATTCGCAAGCTTAAAAAAATATACGTATATAAATAGCATTTTCTAACACAGCTATTCTCATTCAACTTTGTTATTTTACCTTCATGACAAAATGTGCCTGTCTTTCCATTTTTACACATTAAGCAATGACCACTGACTGGTTCACATGTATTGTGATCACATCCCAATGAACAAGAACTTGAACAGTTTTGTCCATAGTAACCAGTCGAACAAACTGTTGATAAAATATATATTCAAATATTCTGTGGATTTTTTAGTAAGTGAATCTGATCCAAGAGTAGTTTACTAAAATATGCCATTCTGTAGGATTCAGTCGTTGAGATAATGTTTGATTCGTTATTTTAAAAAGGAAAAAACTAAATATGTGCTTATCCAATAGATTAACTCAACTACGTTGGTTACTAAATTAAGTCTGTATACACTGATTAAGAAAAAACTACGTTTTATGTATTAATGCACTAATTGTTCACAATTAGATTGTGAAACAAACTGTGATTAAAAATTTAAACCCGTATCAAATCAGTACGGTTTATTAAATTATTTTAAATATTTAAAAAATATTTGTAGTTCGTTTAGCAAGATAACATTAGTCTTTACAATTTAAAGTATTATTTGGACTAGCTGTGACAAGGTTTAGAAAGAAAAAAAATAATGCAATTAAAATTGCTTTTATAAAAAATAAACGCAATACCTTTATCACACCAATCTCCAACATTCCCATCTGTACAACGTTGACACAGTCCACTAATTGGATCACATTGTTTGTTTTTACAGTTGTCTGGGCATGTCAGTGAACAGTTAGATCCAAACCATCCAGGATCACATGCTGTTGACCGAAATATTACAATATAACAATTAATTTATTTGTAATTTAACATCATATTAATAGTTTGATAACTTATAAACTTACGATCATTGCAGAAGTGTCCTTTATAACCAGGAACACAACTGAAACAGGATCCATTTGTGACATTGCATAATGAAAGTGTGCAATTCTCAGAACATTTGAAATTACATTTGTATCCATATGTTCCTGGACCACATTCTTGAAAACAAAATTATATAAAAAATACTTATTTTGAATAAACAATGAAATTAATGTTATTAACACAATTTTAATACTCGAATACAATTAATACTGAGTTAGTCTAATTTTCGGTTAATAATAGAAGTCGAATTTTTCAAACTTTGAAATTTTAAGTAAAATTAATTATAGTCAGTCAATATACCTTTTAATCATTTAATT